CCTTTTTTGAAATAAGACCCCACAATAACCCCATCGGCCCCTAAATAATCCTCCAAATTATCACAAGTGACCCCAGACCCCACCAAAACAGGCAAAGAACAACATTTCTTAACTTGAACCAATTCGGAGGCATTTGCAGGACTTCCTGTCGCAGCCCCCGTCACGATTAAACCATCAGCGAGGAAAAACTGCGCCGCTTGAGCTGTCTCAACCAAAGAAACATCACTGGTGATTGCATGAGAACTACAAAGAAATAATTAACAAAAAAAAAATCTCAAACCCACTCACCTGTGTTTTTTTTTAATGTCGGCGAAAATGAGCACATTCTCGGCTTGAATGTGTCTTCGGTATCGCAGAATTAACCCCGCGTTGGCGTCAGTGTACCCCTCATCGGCCACATGCCCGAAAACGAACCCCTCGGCCCTTATAAAATCCAAATTGGTGGCTTTCGCCACCGCTAACGCCTCCTTGTTCCCACACGCCAGGACCTGAACCCCACAAGGGACACCCTCGGGGGCTATTCGCCTAATTTCGGCACAAACCCGAGTCATTGTGGCCACAGTTTCAGGAGTAAAGTGTTTGGATTGGATATACGGCAAATCGTGCATATTTTCGACCAAAATGCCGTCAAGCCCCCATTTCAGATACGTCTCAGTGTCTTTGCACGCTTTGGACACCAAAGAATCGACCGAATTGTTGCAAAGTGGGGCCCCTGCAACGCCAAATTTGAATTTCCCGCCCAATTTCGGCTTAAATTCCCCCAGACATTATTTATTTATCAAATCAAGAAGGTGTTAAAATAAAAAAGTTAGGTTGGGTTAGTTTCTAACCTAACTTTTTGCACATGTTATGAGTTTGATTATGTGGTGAAAAAGTGTCTCAGTGGTGTGTTTACCTGGTAGGGCCCCCACGTGGACCATCCCAATCACCGCACATTTAGTCGTGTTGAATAATTGTCGAAATTTCAACATTTCGTGTCAAATGTAAGTTTGAGGTTATGTCACGTTGTTTACGATTTTCTTGTCTTTAGGGGTTGCAAATGGAAAGAGTTTTTAACATAATTAATTTTTATTGTTTTCAACTTTTTATAACATTTTCTTTGCCTTTCACGCAAACTGCACTTGATAATAGTAAAAATGAACATTAGCGCATTGTTTATAGATTACACTCTTTGAACACTTACAAACTTGAATAAAACTCCCTATGATGCATACATTTTAGTAACTACCATCTAGTCGTGCTCCATATTTACATACCACTTAGAAATTTAGATTATTCGCATATCAAACCTAAGAGTAAAACAGACACTCGTCACAATCAACCAAAAACAGAAATTGTCATTTAATACTTGAGAGGTGCACACATTTTTTTCTTGAAGCCTTTATCTAGGTAAAATACGGTGTGTGACTCGAGAATAAAGGCCTAAATTAAGTGTTATTATTATTGAAAAGGCATTACGGTTTTATTTGATGTGAGGATGCCTTGATTGATGAGTAGTAAGAAAAACTAAAAGAGATTTACTGGATTTTGTCTGTTTTGAGTGTAGCAAGTTTATAAAAAATAGTTTTGGTCAGAACTATAAATCCAGTGATGCGAATCGAAGCTAAGTGTTCGAAAAATTGGACGAATTGAACAACTAAGCTGATGTTATTATTGTTTCTAATTGACTCTAGTTGTTGTTTTTCGAAAACTAAGCCCGGATTAAAACTTACAAAACCAACAAAAATAATTTATATCTGTCTCACTAAAAGTAATTAATTACAATAAAAATAGACTATATCTCTGTATATTATGTACAACGTTTCGCATTTGGTGTCAAATGAAAGAAAAATAATGCCCGACATTTGGTTTCTTGCTTCGACACCGATGCGAATATAAATAAAATAAAATAAAAAAAAACTATGAAAGACGAACATTAAATTAATTTTTTTTTGGTCGCAACAATTGGTACAGTTCGGTATCCGTCCGTTGAACACAACACGGTGCTTTGGTGGTTTTTCTCCAACATTTTCTTCCTAACAAAACATAATATTATAATAAAACATAGACACAACTCGAAGGGTGTTTTAATCAATATTCCCCTTGCGCTGAATTAAGAAAATTCTAAGCTTGAAGCTTTGAGAGAAAACCAAATTGTAAAATTTATGATACACGTGAATTGTACCGAAATGTTGCGATTTTGAGATCATTTTTTTGRGTGCACAAGTTTAGCACTTGCGGTTATTGTTGGCGAAGGAACGAGTGGCGCCCTGCGAYCGTTCCCCACGCCGTTGTCGGCGATTGCGACTGTTTACTTCACGAGCCTTATTGGTACGGTCTAGAGTGCCACGGGTCACGAACTTGCACGACTTCTGGATCTGGACCTYGAGCAAAAAAGGGAATTTTTATGTAAAATACAAAATTCCTATTAAATAATAAATGAAAATGTTCTTTGATTTTTTTGTCAAAATTGCGTTTATTATTGCTCAGGGTGTCTGAAAAACAGATTT